CAGCATGGGGGAACTATGGCCCCTTCATGACTTGTGGACTTCAACTCCCAGAATTCCTCAGCCAGCATGGGGGAACTATGGCCCCTTCATGACTTGTGGACTTCAACTCCCAGAATTCCTGAGCCAGCATGAGGGAAACTTTGGCCCCTTCATGACTTGTGGACTTCAACTCCCAGAATTCCTGAGCCAGCATGAGGGAAACTTTGGCCCCTTCATGACTCGTGGACTTCAACTCCCAGAATTCCTGAGCCAGCATGGGGGAACTATGGCCCCTTCATGACTTGTGGACTTCAGTTCCCAGAATTCCTGAGCCAGCCACGTTGAGGGGAAAGGGAGAGGTTTCCAAGCTGAGCCAGGCTGGCTGAGGAATTCTGGGAGTTGAAGTCCACCAGTCATCAAGGGGGGCATGGTTCCTCCATGCTGGCTCGGGAATTCTGGGAGTTGAAGTCCACGAGTCATAAAAGAGCCAAGGTTGCCTACCCCTGAATTAGACTTTAGGCCTAAGGTAGGGGTCTTCAAACTTGGCTCTTTTATGACTCGTGGACTTTAACTCCCAGAATTCCTGAGCCAGCCATGCTGAGGGGAAAGGGAGAGGTTTCCAAACTGAGCCATGCTGGCTCAGGCATTCTGGGAGTTGAAGTCCACGAGTCATAAGAGAGCCAAGGTTGCCTACCCCTGGTCTAGTCCCTCTCAGCTCAACTGGGGAAAATAGGAGGAAGGTGCATTAGATATGTTTGCTGCCTTGAGTTATTTATCAAAACAAAGGCGGGATACCAGAATCTAAATAAAATACACGTAGAAAAGGTCTCCATATGCCCATATGCCCTAGAGAGCCCCACCCAACTGTCATAAAAGTCTATATATTTCAAAGAATGATTTCAAAATATGTGTAGATATTTTTTTTTTTAAATGTGCATAAGAAGAAAGGGGAAGAAATGGCATAGAAGCAGGTGGTGAATTACACACCAGGGATACTAACATAAGTTGATTTGTGTTGGTTATAAATCAGGGATCCCCAACCTGTGGGCTGTAGCTCACTAGTGATCCGTGGCTTATTCGCAACCGGGCCGCATAAGTTGCTGGCTGGTGCGCGCATGAGCATCATGGGTGCTCGGGGCCCCATTTGTGTGAGGGTCGCGGGTACTCGAGCCCACTCGTGTAAGTTTCACGGGCACTCGGGGCCCAATTTGTGTGAGGGTCATGGGTGCTCAGAGCCCCATTTGTGTGAGGGTCACTGGTGCTCAGGGCCCTACTTGTGTGAGTTTCGCGGGCACTCAGGGCCCCATTTGTGTGAGAGTCATGGGTGCTCCAGGCCTCATTTATGTGAGGGTCATGGGTGCTCAGGGCCCCATTTGTGTGAGGGTCATGGGTGCTCAAGGCCTCATTTGTGTGAGGGCCAGGAGTGCTCAAGGCCCCATTTGTGTGAGGGTCAGGAGTGCTCAGGGCCCCATTTGTGTGAGGGTCATGGGTGCTCAGGGCCCCATTTGTGTGAGGGTCAT